CCTCGTCGTGCAACCTGGGTACTAGTTTACTAGTAGCGAACAAGTACTATCATATTTTGCAATCAGGTAGTTTTTCGGTTTCGGTTTAAATTTTGTGAGCCTTATTTCCTTGTAGTTGTAATTTGTTTCTTTGTTCAAATAATAATAAATCTTTTGCCATCTTTAACATGAAATAATGATTTTTTTTTATTTGCGCTTAATATTTACTTCTAAAAGTTATACGTATGCAATAAATTTCACGTCAATTGATGAAGAATAAAATTGCCCCCTATTTTTTAAATAAAAATAGTTTCAAGTCTGCCGTTTATAAAGCAACAAATAAAGAGCATAAGGAACAGTGATCTCTCGAAAAATGCAATTGAGAAAATAGTGTGTAAGGTCTTTAAAATCTACAGTATTGGAGTCCAACAAACTTATTCATTTCCTTATTGTTAAGAAAAATATCGATCCTATAAGGATAAATAATGTATTGATAACATCGTATATTCATTATTGTAATCGATTTGTTCGCAAGCACGTGATAAAATTTATCACACATAAGCAATTAAATTTTGATCGCGGATCGATATTTTTGTGCTTAGATAATAGATTATAAATATATAATTGTTTTGTCAAACATCAAATGATTTTATTTTAATTTTATACAAAACGCCATTTTTTTTTTTTTTAACAAATTGCACGATGATGTAAATTGGAACTATGATTATTAAAAACGCCCGAAAAATTTAATCATCTTTATTTAATATACAATTATCAAATCACACAAAAACACATTAAAAATTGACGACACCAAATAAACATTTGTTTGTTTATACGAAAATAATAATAATAAAAAAAATAGTTAACGCGACGCAAAAGAAATACAATGTTCATGATTTATGAGTGAAAAAATAAGAAAAATATAAAAAAAAACTATAACAATCAAATTTTATAATATATAATATAATAGAGTATATTCTAAAGGAGTATATTGATGATTGAATCTAATTCTCCATCATGCTTCACCACAAGTTTAATCATCTCCTCTTCGTCATCGAAACCCTGTATTAAACCAATAAAAATATAATTAATCCCATGAAATTCAATCCCAGAATCGAACTGGGAAAACCTGTAGTAAAATTATCTAATAAATGTAATACACGTTAAACTCCTACCATTTCAGCCAATGTCGCCAATGTTTGTTTGTATTTCAAATTCTCTGAAAATTCTTTATTGAATTTAGATTCACCAATATCACCGGGTTGTGATGTTACGACGATATCTTCAACTTCAGCAGATGAAGGAACGGATGAGCTTTGAACATTTTCGGCTAAAAGTTTACCTTCAGATTGTGTGTCGTTAATAACTTCTTCATCTGAACTTAGATTTAAAGTATATGGTTGTACGCTTCTTCCACGTTGTGTTTGCATGTCATCGTCCGAATCTTTTTCTACAACAATAAAATCTTGAGACGAATCTGCGCTTGAAGCAATCGAAGAATTATCATCGGAATCATCAGAATCATAATGATCAGATTGATTTTCAATTTCTAATTTTCTTAGTTCTGACAAAGATGAACCAAGTGAAACTGGATCACGGAAAAGACTATCATCATCATTTTCAAGTCTTAAAATTTCTGAAGATACAAGAGTGGCAGGAATCGAAGATAATGGAACTGAGGTATCATTAGATTTAGCGGAGACCGATTGTTGATCATAATTTAATACAGGGAAGATCATTGAAGAAGCAGACATATTGGTCGATTGATCAACAGCCTCCACATCAATATCACACCAAACTCTGTGTCCAAATCGATTACCATCCTTATCTGTTAATCGCCAGAATCTGTATGAAGTTTAAATTATTAATACAAATACAACAAAATTCACTCGATGAAAGATTAGAAAAATATTATACTAACGAAACGTATTTTCCGGGTTCAGATGGCGCTTGGAGATCAGCAGAAATATCCAGAGTTTTACCAACTTCAACAGCACCAACAGGGATATACGGTGCGGTACCTTCTTCGCCATTTTTAACCAAACTATCATTGAACATACGCTGTCCACCAACAAACTGTAGGACCGTGCTTTCAGGCCACTAAATAAGAGCATATGAGAATATATTAATATAAAATTGCCAATTACACTTAAAGATGTGAATTACTTACAGTGACACCACCGTTGTTAGACATTTTCCAGATCTTTAGAAATTGAGCCTGTGGCACGAGTACTGTACCGTCGGGTATATTTACATCTTCAATAAAGCATGAATTCAACATAGATACCTTTAAAGCATTATTTGAATCCTGTGCAGCTGGTTCAGTTTTTTTAAGGAGCAAAGAAGGGAAGAAATCATTATGACTAGCGTTGATATTTGAAATGGAAGGAGAAGGTTTAGAAGATATCTCAGGCAAAGGAGCTGATTCAGATATTGAAGTTTCACGCAATTCCTCATAAAGTTCAATAGGTGCCCGACTAATAACGGGTTCACCACTTTTTTTTTAAAAAAAAAAATTATTAAATGTATTATCAATTTAATTTAATTCGATATGGATAAAATTAATTACCTCGGTCCTTTGACAATTGAAATTGGTTGCTTCTGGATAGTAGATTGTGAGGACAAATTTGGAGTTGACTCAACCAAATCGTTATTTGTAATAGATTCTATTTCTTTTGAAGAATTTTTCCTGCATTCTGCTTTTGATTTACAACTACCCTTGATATCTGCACGCGAATAAAAAAGCGGAAGTAATGCTTCAGTTGATGATAATGGAGATGGAACAGGCCTCTTGAGTTTAATGAAAACATGATTAAGATCATGCTTGTTAAGAGGGGATGCCTCGCAATTTCCGCAAAGATCGAAATCGGGGCAATTTCCGCACTATCCAATAAATTTCAATCGGTTAGATTTAAAATTATAAGCAACTTATCAATATTAATTATATTTCATACCTTAAATCTGACACCATTAATTGCTTTGTGGCAACCATCGCATTTAATTCCAGGGTGAAAAGCAGCATCTTTAGATTGAAATTCAAAATAAAATGTTAAAAAAAAGCATGTTCTCAAAGTGGTTTCAAATTCTTTTATAAGGATTATTATGACATAAGAAAAATACCCGGAATTTTGATTTCTGGATCACCAGGTTTATGAATAGACATAAATGTATGATCTGGATGTTGATTTGGTGCAAGCGCTAAAATAAATATTATTACCCAAGCTTCAGTAAATTATTGCTTAAATTTAGCAAGTATTAACAAATAAAATAAAACTAATAATTTACTTACAAATGCAGTAACTACACAAGTCGAAATCTGGGCAATTAATACATTTATGACGTATTCCAAAGATGACTGATTCACAATAGTCGCAAGTAGCAGAATGCACATTTTCCGAATCTAATTTTTATTAAAAGAATTAATAAATTATAAATCGAAAATCATACACACTGAGAATTGGAAAATACAAACGAGTAGAAACATTGGAAGTTCTCGGATAAGGAATAGGTCGGAAAGCATGATTATTTGGGTGAGTATGAAGAGTACTTGGTTTGGATTTACAAACTTGACACACGTCATAATTTTTACAAGTTGTACACTTCCATCTCATTCCACGGATAGTATTTTGACAGCAATCGCATAATACACCATGATGCACAACAGGTTCTGCAAAAAATTTTAAAACGATTATAATTAATTATAAGAATTGAAAAGATATACAATATAATGAAATTAATTATACCCGAAGAATTTGGAATTTGACGAGTATCAGACGAAAGATTTGTATCAACATTATTTGATTGATTTGGCTGAGACACGTTAAGATTCTTATATGACAGATCACGTTCAATAGTGGAACTCAGTTGTGTAACAAATGTTTGTACCGTGTCTTGAAGATGTTTGATTCCAATATTAAGGACCCTTTCAAAAGGGTACTCTTCAGGATTTGCGTATTCGTTATTCGTGCCAAATTCGGACGTTGACGAATCTGAGTTTTCTATTTATGGTGTAGCAGAAGATGGGACACTTTAAAACTTTGCAAACGATATATTATAACGTTATATCGTCAGAATAAAAATATTTACCTGTTACATTATTATCATCTTCATTTGAATTACCATTAAGATTATTGGGTAACTCTTTTTCTTGATGTTTAGAGACTATTGTGTCTATTTTTTCCAAGCTTAAGCGAATCACAACTCTAGCATTTTTTTTGTTTAGATTCAAAGCAGCATGATCAATTGCTTCTTTCAGACATGAGTCACTATCGATACTTATAGCATCACCATCTTCATCTTGGTAACGAACGTTAAAATAATCCGTTCGAAAAAGATCCGAAAGCTAGAAAAATTAATTGTTAGAATAAATTAAGAAATATTCCCGCAGCAAATTAAGGTATAAGAAAGGGATAACTTTTTTCATATCAAATATGATAAAAAATGATATCAAAGGTACATTAATAAATTACAAAGTTTTAAAAAACCAAAAAAAGTTATAATAAAAGATTTTTGTATATTTTATTACAAGTTGTTTCAAATAAACATAAAATGATAATGTTCTGCCCGGGTACTTGATTATACCATTAATTTTGTTTTATAAAATATTTTATATGACAATACCTTTGTTTTCAAAGAAGAATATGTAAGGATTGAGCCCTTTTCAAATTTTAGTCTTCGAAGTACATTAGGATCAGAATTACAAGAAACTTTGAAGTCTACTTGATACTGTAGTTCCATTGTATAGTTTGTTATTTTATTTAATTTTATTTCGCAGTCAAAAAAGCGTCAACTGTATATAAATTATTTACAAAAAAAGGGGGGGTGGGGGGAAGGGGGAATAAAAAAAGTAAAGAGAATTTGGCAAATATGTCAGGTTTATAAAGAGATATTAGTAAAGACCGGAAAAATTGCAAGCCCAAAGAACGCCCTTTATGATAAGAATTCCTGTTTTATATAACAATACTACGTGAGGTGTGCGTAAGCGTTGATTGCGTAACCCGGAAACTTGGCACACAAAACTCCGAGCCAACCATTTTTTTTCTCATGATCAGGATAAATTTTTGTGTAATGTTGCCATTTATCGATTTTATAACATATATTTGATATCGAAAACATATATAAAATCATAAACATTATAATTAAATAAATAAATAAATATTAGTTAATATTATTTTATTATTATTTCCAATTAATCTAGTTTCACAAAAAAAAAAGGGAAATTATTAATTAAATTCGAAACAAATTTCAATTAACGTTTTAAACATACCATAATTAAGATTGGGTCGAAGCCACTTTTCTGTATCTTCAAGATCTTTACCGATACGTTCAGTGTAATTTAGAACCTAATTTTAATTTTTTTTTTTTTTTTAAAACAATTTAAATGAGAATATAAAAACTTTTTAAAACGGCACGAATAGTTTAAATTATTACCTGATCCTTTTCTATCTTTCCAACCGCGAAATATTGTGATTCGGAATTTGCAAAGGCTAGGGCTATTTATTTATTTTTAATTAATGCCACTACAGAAATACTTAATGAACTTTGCAAACACAAAGACGGACAATAACTCATACCTGAAACACTAGCAGCGGGAAGCATAGCCAAGTTATCAGTCAATTCAATCCCAGTTTCTTCATGTATCTTCATTAAATTCCACATAGTTGATTTTTCACGATGATCCGGTTGAGATGGATAAGCTGGAGCTGGTCTAATACCTTGATATTTAACGCTCAGCATATCTCCTAATTTTAAATTTTCATTTGGTGAATATCCCCATAATTCTTTACGTATGCTCTCATGCAAACATTCAGCAAATCCTTCAGCAAAACGATCTGCAATTGCTTTAGTCATGATAATATTATAATCATCATGTTCATCTTCGAATTTCTTTACAAGCTCTTCAGCACCAAATATACCAACTGCGAATAAACCTAAATAATCTGGTATACCAGATGCTCTAGGTGCTATAAAATCGGAAAGACAAAAATATGGTTCTTTCGGCTCCTTTTCCGCTTGTTGTCTAAATTCAGATATAAAATATAAATGAAAATTAGATATGAAAAGGATGAAAGTCTAAATATGATTTACCTTAATCCGAAAAAGGTGGAAGCGACCTTGCGTCGTGATTCATCCTCATATACCTTTACAATGATTGATTTATTCAAATAAACCGTAATTAGAAAATATTGGGAAAACAAAATTTTAATTTACTTGAATATCATCATCCACACTATTAGCTATAATTTAAAAATAATAATATAAGGAATTTGATTACGATATATACGATATATAAGTAGAAAAAAGGGAAAGTTAAATATGCTTATATACCAGGATAAATTCCAACGATGCCTTTAGCAACGAATAAATCCTCATCAATAATCTTTTTGACAAAGGCTAATGCCTCATCATATACTTTTTTAGCTTCTGGACCTAAAAATTATTCAATAATATTTTTTATTAAATATTGGTTATTTGTGATAAGCCCATACAAATCGATAACTTACCAACATGTTCATCATTAAAAATTTTTGGGAATCCGCGATTGGGATACCTTCCTCTCAATTGCCTAAATATTCAACAATTAATTTTTTTAATATTTTTTAATACAATAAATATCGTATTACTTAAAACAACATTTTTTTGATTTACCAAACTTGAAAGAAAGGATTCCAATCAATATATTCTGAAATTCTCCTTAAATCATATTTCGTAAATACTCGTTTTCCAATAAAAGATGGTTTAACGGGAAGAGATTGTTTAGCCCAGTCAATTTTGAATCCTTTTTCTCTCGCTGTTTGCAAAGGTAAGTATTTTCGATCTTTCAAAGAAGCAAAATGATCTTCCCTAATTTCTTGATATTCTTCTGCTATATCTTCCCAGAAGTCCTCTTTGGATTTCTCATCCAACAAGTTTGATACCACAACGACGCTTTTTGAAGCGTCCAATACGTGTATAGTAGGTTTATTGTATTGAGGAGAAATTTTTACTGCAGTATGCGCTTTAGAAGTTGTAGCTCCACCAATTAATAATGGAATCTAACAAACCAAATAACATAATTAATGTGATATTGACACATAAGTTACATATTAAATGTTAAAAATAATTCATTACATTCAAATTACGCTTTTCCATTTCCCTGGCAACTGTTATCATTTCATCTAAAGAGGGTGTAATCAAGCCCGATAATCCAATAATATCGGCTTTTTCTTCCAAAGCTGTTGCTATAATTTTCTCACAGGGTGTCATTACACCTAAATCAATAACCTAACATATAAAAAAGATACAATATAAAATAAATTGTTTTGAAAAAAGTGAAAAAGATTTAAATAAAACCATATACCTTGTAATTATTACAACCGAGCACAACGCCAACAATATTTTTACCAATATCATGAACATCTCCTTTTACAGTAGCTAAAACAACAACTCCCGCATGTGCAGGGCCTGAATCTTCACCACCAGTTTTTGCAAGATTAGCCATACGTTCTTCTTCCATAAAAGGGATCAAGTGTGCTACTGCCTTTTTCATAACTCTATTTAATAAGTTAAATAAATTGATTATTAATGAAATTAAAAATTTTATTTAAGGGAAATATTGCTTACCGTGCAGATTTGATAACCTGTGGTAAAAACATTTTACCTTGTTAAATAAGATATGTTAGCATATCATATAATCTAATTTAATATTATTTCGGATATTTACCTTTTCCGAATAAGTCACCAACAATACTCATACCGCTCATTAAAGGACCTTCTATAACTTCTAAAGGTCTCGAATACTAACAATAAATTATTATACAAATTCTCTTCACTTTAACTGCACTAATTTCAAATAAATTTTTACTACTTACATTCTTCCTAGCTTCCTCCGTATCTTCGATAATATGTTTTGTAATCCCCTTAACCAAAGCGTAACTAATTCTGGAATTTACATTTTCTTTTCTCCATTCTTCTTCAGCTTCTTCTTTTTTAGTTCCTTTACCATGCTTCTGTGCATAATTTAATATTTTTTCCGTTACATCTGGATCACGATTCCATAATGCATTTTCACAAAGCTCAAGCAAATCTTTTGGAATGTCATCATAAATAGTCAAAAATCCTGCATTTACAATTCCCATATCAAGACCTAGAAAAAAAAGAAAATTTTTAAAGTAAATTTAAAATAGATAATACAAAACGAAAATGATTTCGTACCAGCTTGAATTGCATGATATAAGAAAACGCTATGCATGGCTTCTCTAATTTTATCCATTCCACGAAATGAAAATGATAAATTAGATACACCACCGCTAACCTATTAAAAAAAATTATTAAAACATTTAATCTAACGAATTACTATTCAAAACAAAGGAAAAAGATAGATTATAATTTATTCTAATTTATTAAATATTTCTTCTTCTGATCTTAATAATAAAAAATTAACCATACTTTTGCACCGGATAAAGTTCGTTTGATTTCTCTTGTCGCTTCAATAAATTCTACACCATAATTATTATGTTCTTCCATACCAGTACAGATAGTTAAAATATTCGGGTCTGTTTTAACAAATATAAAATTATTAAAATCAAAGTTTTTTTTTTCCAAACTTAAAAAGACAAAAGTGATATTTTTTACCAAAAATAATATCGTTAGGATTGAATCCAACTATTTCAGTTAAGATTTTATACGATCTTGTACAGATCTCTACTTTGCGATCTTTAACGTCAGCTTGACCTGTTTCATCAAACTAATATAAAAATAAAACTCGTTAGTTATTACAATAATATATTTATCTAATAATAGACAAGAAAATAACTTACAGCCATAACAACA